AAATCAAATGACTGGGGTCAATAGACCATTTTCCGTTCACTGCGAGAATCACGCGTTATGCGTGAAATCGAACGTAAAAACAGGACAAACAAAGGTCATAGCGTCGTAGTCGCGTCAAACATCGCGTGGGATTCGACAAACGCGAAAGTATTTCGGGGACATTTCCATGCTTAATAATGTGCTGTCCACATTTGATGATAGGCAATTTCGATTAAGTAAGGGTATTCGGAAGCAATATTCCTCTGTCGAAGATCGGCCGGTCAATGTAAGCTGCGAAATAAAGAAATTCTAGTTGAAAATCAAATCGTTCGATTTTTGCGGCAGACGTTCGACGCGCGTCTTTCATGCATCTCGCGAGATCTCGCAATTGTTCGGAAAATCACCTATTAGATGACAAATAGTCACGATCGATGCACAAAATTGTGTTCAAAAAACAAACTGAGAAATACAATACCCATATGATGTACATTATCATTAACTTTGTGTGTTCTTTTTATTCAAGAAGTGAAATCATTTGGAAGTGTAAATTACGTTGTTGTCGGCGTTTCAATTGCTGTAGTGGTACTCGTTGCTTTCATTGCCACTGTCGCAGTTCTTCTGATCCGACGGCAGTACAAGTTGCGATCGACCACAACAGATACGGAAAGGCAAGGTACGTGAATTAGCGGGATACACCGACTATATCTCGCAAATATTATCGTGATTGATGCGACGGAAGACCACATATGCAAACGGTAACGACACTGTGAACTTTTACATCCCAGTTTTGTCATAATGTTTCTACGTCAATACAAGGAGTAATTTATAGGACGGGTGTGTGCTTGACTGTATTTACACTGTTCTGTTATTATAGTTTTTTCCCGGTATACAACTTTAAACAACAACGGTTAACTCCCTTAGCTAATGTTCAATTCGCATACCTTACCTCACCGTCAACACAACATAACAAGCACTGTGATTGGCTTGAGGTAATGGAGCTATTGTCCAATAGGGAACAGAATTTAAAATGACAAATCGAAATTATTATAGATCGGCCCACTCAAACCGATGCGAAGAATGAGCCAACTGGTACGCCATCTACGACTCTATTTCGCCATGATGGGGATGATGATACTCAGGCTAGTATTGCGTACGGCAGCATGGAACAAGGCACGGCAGAACATTGGCATAGACATATCGGAACTGAGACCAATGAGGGACACAGTGGACCAGCCAGCTCCACGGCAGATTACTCTATAGTCAGACAGTAAATCATTTACATAATACGCAGCATCATCATCATCAGATTCAAATTTTACAGAATAGAGGTTGACAATATACAATCGCATGTAATGGCGGAAAAACTGAGCAAATTATTTTTTTTTCTTGTGGTTTTAAAGCGCGGTAGTCGTCGCGCTGCGCATGTGCGACATTTGTGTTGATAAACATTGACAAGTATGAGGTTTAACCTTGCCGCGACTTGCACTGATTGCCGCCGGTGACTCCTTCTATACATTCCAATCCCACATGAAAATTACTCAATTAAAGCTTGGAAACGTC